TACGTACAGAAGTGAATGAGGGCAGAGCACGTGTGTGCACATCAAAATGCACACTACTCGGAATAGCAGTGTGAGAAAGTGGATGCWATTTTGGTTTGTTTGAACCAAAATGGACAACTATACTAAAACATTCATGTTTTGGCCCTGCATCTCTGCAATGGATATGAAATTGAATTACAAGCCAACTTTTCTCATCTCTTTAGATCAATTACTTTTCAGAGACATATTAAAAAGGTCTATAAGTGTACCTATGTTTCAATTTTGCTTTATCCACTAACATTCCAATCAATTATATATTTTATTTTGTAGGGATACAATTTATAACCCCTATATTTGATGATGATGGAAGCTTAAGTCTTCTTTGGAATACTTGGGAAACAAAAGTAACAAAAAGTCCAAATATTTGTATGCCTTCTGAAAAAGATGTAAAAGATGTAGCTTGCTGGAAGAAATTTATCAAGATTGTGCAGCATGTTGTATATGGATCCAAAGAAAAATGTGTTTCAGTTACATGCTAAGATAAAACTAAAATGACAAATGTTTAAATGTCTTTGTTTTCTTATGAGTGTAGTGCTGCATTGGACATGAATTGGACTGAATAAGGAGAAATGTGTAACTTTCAGCCTTGGAAAACTAGCATTTAACTGTTAAATGCACAAAGATATCCTAACAATTTAGCAATGCAGTCTTTTTCAATGTTTTTGCCATGAACTTTGTATGTAAAAGTATGTGTTTTCCGTACTTTTGCTGATATTTCAGGCAACGTGCACCATTTACATGTGCTCCATGCACTCTAAAGTTCAGTAGCTAGCCTTTGCTCTCAGTGTTATCTCATCCAATACTTTAATGGTCAGGAACAAAAAAAACCACAGAAATCTTTTCCTCTTCATTAAATGTGTTGCTTTGCTTTGTTTTTCCTGAGTTTATATTCACATTTGTAGTAAAGATTGAAAATAATGACAATGAAAGAAATTGGCAGAGCTCTCAGTAAGCAATTACTTCATCATGGGGAGTGGTCATTGCTACAGAGCTGATGATTTGCAGTGGTGACACACACTGCAGTGGTGAAGAAAAATGTTTCTTGTCCCTTCTGTGCTCAGGCTCTCCCCAGCAGCTCTGTGGCCCTATGTATCTTTTGCAGGATACATACAATATGAATTTCTATTCCCTCGCCATTTAATTCTCCATCAATACCTCAGCTCCTCTTGGTTTKGATAGATGAATTCCTGCAGAGCTCTATGGCTTGGAGGAATATTTGAAGAGTAAAACAAATTCATGAAGAAAGTGGTCCTTGGAAGCAGCTAACAAACAAAACTGGTTTTGATCAGTAATTCTTGTATGGCAAAGTTTTTTATGTCACATGGAGGAACTAAGCAATTTCTTTAATGCAAGCCTCTTTTATAGACTCCTTTCAAAAGCTGACAGAACAAGTTATGCAAAACAATTTGTTGAGATAGATAGTGAATAATTAGCATTACTAACAGATCCATAAAGGAAATGTTTCTGAAAGCTTTCTGAAAATGTTAATACATCCATTACAAAATACTACTCAGGGAAGTTTGGTCTTCTYGTGGAGAGTCATATGGTCAAATTGACACACAATTCCCTTAAGAAAAAGAGTGATCTTTATTTTCTGTAAAAAATTTGAATGAAATGTTAGTTGTGGCTGGGTAAGAAGACTTATTTTGAGATTAGCTCAGTAGATTAGAGCACTGTGCTAATAATGCCAAGGTTGTGGGGTCAATCCCTGTATGTGACATTCACTTAAGAGCTGGACTTGATGATCCTTCTGGGTKCCTTTAWACTCAGACTATTCTGTGAATCTGTGATTTATAAAAAAGGTGCAAAATCTGCTTTTCCAGAAGCTTGTGGGGAGAGAATACTGAACCCTCAGGTGCCAAAACTGTACCTTTCTGCATATGCATGTGGAAAGATGCTCTCACTCAAATTGTTCACATCTCTCTAAACATTGTCCTATTCAAGGGACACAGCCATGAAGCAACACTGTACAATTTCTAAAACCACACTACTCTTACAGAAGGTTAAGTAGCAAGGAAAAGTAAAAAATTATCACAAAAGTACGTGGAAGAAAATATCCAAAACAAGTCCCGAGAAAGACTGGCACCATGCTCACAGATATTCCAAGAAGTGAAAGAGTAGCTAAATTTATTAGACAAACTTTGTCTAGTGAATAATTAACAGGTCTGATTCAAAGTGTAACTCAATATAGACTGTTTGTTTGTTTTTCTTTTTGTGATATTGATGTTTTGCTTTTAATGTCTAATAAAGGGTTAGATCAGGTAATCCTGGCATGATAAAATGGGAGAKTTATCCATTTAAATGGTCATATTGATTTMATTATTTTTAATTTCAARTACYTTCTGAWAAGTGTTCATGTTTCCTGGGATCACAAATAATTCAGTACTGTGTCTGTTTAATAGTTATGGATACACAAATGTTATATTAACACTGTTAAGGTCATAGTATTAGTCAGCCAAAGGGATGGAAATGTATCTTTTGTAAATGCATTTTTAYAAAATTGGGGATTATCTACTATTTATTTCATAGGGCCTGCCCCTTTTTGCATAAAGCATAGGTAAGAACTGAGCTTGTTATACTCAAGACACTTTAGCATGGTGGTAGTAGGACTATTTCCATATTCATAACAGAATTTGAGAAGCCAAGGTTTCCCAGGAGAGCAGAACAGGTCAGTGGTTAAGGCAATTAGGTGCTGTCTTCAAAGCTAAATTGTAACCTTGCCCCTGAATTTGTAATTGATGCTGTGTGAGTTACTGAGATTCATCATAGGTGGCCACTAACCAGTTTTTTTTAATGTCTGATTGAGAATCTGATTTATCAACACAMAGGGTACTTAAATCTGGACCTGCAGTAAATGACAGCTATAAGTGGGTAAATGAAGGATGGCATAGTGCTAAGTAGTTATAAAAAAAAAAATTCTTAAACTGCTCTCATATGAAACATATAAACTTTGGATAACTYTATCCTAGCTGCTTTGGATCTCAAAATCCCTTTTTGTTAGCTGAAGAAAATAGCATGCTTTGGTGTTGCAGCAATGCTTTAAAATAATTGTACCAGTATTTTAGAAACAGTCTGCCAGAATGACTATGTAAGAAAAAAACACTGGTGAAATCTGCAGTTCTATTTTCAGAGAATTCTGTATTTTTACTAGCAGAAAATATAATAGATAGGACATAATGACAGACTGAGTGAGAGAAAYGGTGAAATATTTCTCATTAAATAAGTACTTTCTATTCCAGTGCATTAAAGAGGGCTCCAAAACAAAAGTGGTAAATGACCATGTGTGTCAAATAATATAGTGAAATAATGCACATGCAGTAGGGAAGCCATCAAAAATTTTACAGACCTGGTGCTCCCCAGCTCCTGAGTGTTTTGGCACACCTCTGAAATGGATGGATGTTTGTGAGGTTTGCAGGAGGGTTCTTATGTCTGCATTCTTGCCAAATACAATGCCATGGGCATTTTAGGGCCTAAACAGCTTTTCTGATAATGTCCTTGACAAACCTATGAGTAGATTAAAACAGGATTTAAAAGCTGGAAGAGAATGTCTGATACAATAAATGATAATGTTACTAGCTCTGTCTAGAACACAGTGCTGTCATTACAAATGGCTACCCTCACAGCCCAAGAGCATTTCCTGTACTCTTTGGGGAGAAGCTTCTTTCAGGAATGGATCTGACAATTCTACAGAGTGCTCAGTATGAGGGCATTTATGGTGACAAAAATGGGGTGTTGCACACCTTTATTGCTCACAAATAGAACAAAACACAAGATGGAAATTCATTATTAAGACAGGAAAAGAGGTGACTGATACCATGAGCTAATAGCTAATAGAATTAACAAGATCATTTAGGTTTCCATAAACAAGCTGCGACAGTGAGTACTGCTCTTGTAGTGTTTTTTTTTCATAACAAGGTCAGGATATGGGGTAACTGGCACTAGTGCTTGGTACAAACTCATCTGCAAAGTATTTCCTATGCCAGTCYTGCAGATTTCTCAGTGATGAGCTTCGGAGAGCTTCAGTCTTTGCTCAGGAGACACCACCACATTGTCAAGACTGACAGCACATSAGTAAAGAGGCCTATGAAAATACAGTATGCTTACCTGTTGCAAATGTGTGTGGGTATTGTTTTAGAGGCAGTTTACCTTCAGTGTGGTTTACACCCTTATAAATATTGTAGGAGCTATTATGAKCTATGTCCTTATCATTTGAGATACAATGCACTATTCAAACAGACTTGTAACACTAAAATGGTATTACACACACTACACATCTGTGTTCTTACCCACAGCTCCTACTAGGAAAAAAAAAAGACAAAATATTTTGTCGTGGAGCAAAAGCAAATTAGATAGCCAAAGCTGTTTGTTACTTTTTCTGCTGACAATTCTGAAAGGTGAGGACACRCAGTGTTGGACTAGTTTTGCCATGAGACAGGATGAGAACGATGTAAAGGAGCTGTRCATTTGTCTTGGGAAGGTAAAAGTAATTTTGTGATCTATCTTGGCCTTATTTCTAATTTTACCAAGACTACACWATCACAGGTTTTGCRCATTGCTGTGAGARTGCAGATCKTTCCTTTGRCTTCACTAAAGAAATCAGTATATAYMAGYCATAATTCACAGCCACGCTCGCSTTTCTGAACAAAAATCTTTACCGCAACAGGCATCTGTGTGCTTCACCCTGCTCTTCCCGTTCCCCACAGGGAAGGGGAAGAGAGTGACTAAAGCAGCAGCTCAGTCCCGCTGCCGCCCTGCAGAGCTGTGCTCGGACACGACACGCAGGAAGAGGGACCGCGGGAGCCACGGCGGGGACGCGGAATCCGCCCGGACTGTCCCGGGCCGACCCGGACAAGGGCTGGGCGGCTGCAGCTCAGGGCTCCATCCCCTCCTTTCCCTTCCCCTCCCTTCCCCTCCCTTCCCCTCCCGCCTGTCCCGCCTGTCCCGCCTGTCCCGCCTGTGCCGCCGCCCCCGGGCGGGGGGAGCCCCCGCCGTGTCCCATAAAGGGCAGCCCGGGGCCCCGGCGGTGCTTGCTGCGGAGCAGGGTTCTCTTTCTCCCTCTGGACGGCCGCTTTCCCTGGAACACCCTGGGCAGGTGAGCCGCAGGGACGGGGCAGGAGCACCGCTCCCCACGCCGGCCGCATCCCTTCCCCCGGCTCAGCGTATCCCTTCCCCCGGCTCAGGACATCCCTTCCCCCGGCTCAGGGAATCCCTTCCCCCGGCTCAGCGCATCCCTTCCCCCGGTTCAGCGCATCCCTTCCCCCGGCTCAGGACATCCCTTCCCCCGGCTYAGCGCATCCTTTCTCCCGCAGGCTCCTCCCGGAGAGAGGCGAATTCCCCGTTGTGTCGCTGCCATGGCCTCCGTCCCCTCCGCCGGCTGCCTCCTGGCCAAGAACCAGTACTACAGAAGTGAGTGCTCGGCGGGGCTGGAGCTGCGTGCTGTCCCCAAACACATCTCCGCCCTTGTCTCCCCTGTTCTCTTCTCTCTGCCTGGGGAGTGTCTCTGGAGGAGCGAGACTGAGCCCCCCCGAGCCTCTCCCGAGAAAGTGTCCGGGTTGTTGGCACGAGGGAAAAGTGTCAGAAAGTGTTTCAGGTGATGTCTGGACAAGCTGGAGGCAAAGAGTTGTCTTTGCCTAATAGTTTTTAATATCTTGGAGAATTTTTTTTTTACAATGGTACGTTAGTTTTAACGAGATCTGCTTCTGGTTAATCATTTACTTTTAAAAAAATCAATCTAGCATTATTTGTTAGGGTTATCCTATACTTATACATACACATCTTAATTTAATTATAAAACATTACCTAGAAAAAGTGCTAGCCTAGCAAGTAATGGTTTCTACATATACTTCCTATTTACTTTCCAAGTTAAGACATAATGCAAAATCAATTCACATTTTTGTTTCTAAATATGTGAAAAAATCGTTGCTTTGAGAGTACATGTGGTGTATTAGAATTCCTAGGTCCAGGACGGACCCTAATGCAAGTGTAGCATTTAGCTGTGTCACAAGGGAAAGTGTAGCACTTCGTTTGTTGTGGACTTGAATGTTCAAGGATGTGCTTGGTTGTGCTAGCAGTGTGGCCATGCTCTTAAATTGTGTCAGTGTTTTCAGTGAAAGTTATGCAGACAGATGTCAGTAGGCTTTTAAAGGAARAGAAAAAAGTGTGAGAAACTGATATAGAAGTTCTTATAAAAACCACTGTAGTAGAACAGTGTATACAACATAGAAGTTATGCTCAGTAGCTCAGTGAACTTGTTTCCTCCGAGACAGCAGTATGTCTGAAAAACTCCTGTCATAAAAAAACTGTACTCTCTCAAAGCAGCTTTTTTTTCATCTCTTGTATCTTTGTTTCCCACCAACAGCAAGACTGAACTCGGAATCCAGTGTTTCTTCCAGCTCCTCCTGCTGTTCAGATGCTGTGAACATCACAGACCAGGACAAAGCATTGCATGGTATTGTTCCCTTCTTTAAAACARTTTTCAGTTTTCCCTGTTATTTAGCCAGTGTTTTTAATGCTGTGGGCTTTTCTCCTTTGGCAGGGTTACCTGAGTTAATTGATAAATATTGGTGGATAAAAAGCTTCTTCCATAGTGAACCTTCTCCACCAACTGTTGGCAGAAAAACACTCTCAGCAAGCAGGTGAGTCYTGTTTTTACAACAGTGGGGATAACTTACTTGGTCTATTTTCCTTTTGGTAAAAGTAAACAAGTCATACTCAGCTAAAACCATCTGGCGGGGTGCAATGCTGATTTGATGACTTAAGTAAAACATACAAGTGTAAGGCTATAGAACATTCTCATATTTACATTTTTAAAAATAAACTTACATGCTACTTTATATTATGCAGTTGTTAGTGCCTRTTACTGTGTCACATTTATGGTGATATTTATTTAGTAATTTGCTTATAGAACTTTCACACCCATTTATACAGTTTGACCATTATACTTTATGTTAAAAAGCTGATATGAATGCACTCAAAAATAGTTTATCAGATCATGATACATAGCTTTGAGGAAAATAAAATGAAAATTCTACATATAACATTTCATGTATATATTTCTGCAGTACCAACAGCTGAAAAGRACAACATGATGGCTTTTCTGACTGAGATGCTACATACAGACTTGTTTTTCCACGAGGCTTGGGATCTTCCTAATGTCTGRGTTCAGCTGCAAGAAGAAAACAAAACCTTTAGGAGAGTGGAAAAGTGAATTTTCAAAATATTTGTCAGTAGCTAAAATGATATCTCTTAATGGACATACCTGTGGCCTACCATGTTCTTTATAGATTTGCCATAATTTGAGATGTCTGTCTAATGGAAGTTTCCAGGATTAAATACCCTGTTGATTTGAATAATTAGAGAAAACAGACAGTAAAAAATAAGATATCATAGGTTTAGAAGGAAGATGTGCATTGAATGCCTTTGCAATGATCAATTCAGTTAAGCTACCTTTAAGATACCAGCGCTACAGGCAGTCACACTGATGTAAACAAGATTCAGATCTATAATCCAGAGTAGGACTGCTGTGTGGCACATGTCTTTTATCAAGTATCTGTGTACCAGCTACAGGGTGTAAGTTTACAAAAAAGCTTGTCAATAGCTTTGCTTTTAGAAAGCCCAGTTATKTGAAGAAGCAATGATCAGTTTGGTTTCAAGCAGGGTGCATAGATCCCAACTTCAAATAYCCAGGTACRACTTTCATCTTACCTGTGAATGCTGATATTTGAGGGCAGGATAGAGGAGATGCACMAGAAACCAGTAATCCTCATGGACACTGACCTCTTGCAAGGAGAAGAGCAACCTTAATCAGAGTTGATACTGTTAGCTCTTTTTTGATTTCTTCTGCCTGCTTTATTGTGGCTTAGGGAACTACTTGTTCCTGAGTGACTAATTCTATCAATATTCTGCTGTCTGTGAGATTAGTTATGGGCTASAGCTGGCAAAGGATTCCACTCAAAATAATCACATTGATGTTGTTATCCAAGTGTACCTTTGTCATGCTCTTGAAAAGTACTGTAACTTTGCAATGCTGAAGACAAAATGAAGCTAATTAGTACATAGATTGTTTATTCTCCTGGGTATGACTGAAACGCATCCAGTATTATGGAAAATAACAAGTATTTGGATGGATGATAACACTTGTAACAATTATCTATGCAACTTTTGGATGTACTGCCATTAAACATGCTGGATATTTGTCCATCACTGGATGAACTAACAAGAGCAAACATTAATGTAGCCAGCATCTTTTTATTATAGGTTAATGGTTGTCATAGTTTTGCAWAACTCCAAGTATATTAAGTGCCTACTTCAGGAAGCTTGCAGTCTTGGTGGAGACAATAAATGCATGGCAGATGACAACAGAAAAGAGCACAATTCTGAAAACATTATTTCAAGGGCCTTTAAACTGGCATAAGTGTCTTTACTGCTATTGCATAGTTTCATCTTTGTTCTTTCTCTAAGTGTACAGAATAACTTTTTATACTATGATTTTTTTTTATTAATAAAGATTTAATCATGACTTATTTTTGGCTTCCAAAACCAAACTGGTGTTCTGTGTTGCCTTTGGTGCAGTTGGTGCTGGGGTTTGGATTGTCTTTTTTTGAATAAGTATTTATTTTTCTTTTCTTTTTTTTTTAACATGAAGTATTTGAAGGATTTAAAATCCCCTCAGAAGTCTATGTTTTGTTGTCGTGGGTTAAAATTCTCCTCCTTTTGTTCCTTTTCTTTTGGAATTTTTTCATTCCCATTTGTTGCTGGGATACCTTAATGGCCGAGTCATCTCGTTAATGGCTGGGTGATTGAAGGGACAATGACACCTATGGCCACACCCGAATGGTCCGAGACAGCTTTTGGGGGGNGAGGTCCTGGATTTCTTGCTGTCCAGAAGAGCACTGGCGTTTTCTGCTGTGAGTTTTGCAGAGAAACTTTTCTCCATCCACCTCTGCCATCTTGTATCGATCATCCCAGCCGCGGGAGATCTTGGCTAGCCGGGATCGCGCCGCCACGTCCCCTGCAGTCTCCGAGGAGTCGTCGCGCCCTCCCTGCTCAGCCGGGGGCCAGCCGCGTCGCTGCCAACCAAACTGTAACCTCGCCAAGAGAGAGACTGTTTCTATAAGGCTGTCACTAGTTTTGGACTGGGCTGTGTGGTTGCTATTGTTATTGTTACTTGTTTCACCTTGTTTTATATATATAAATATAAATATATATATATATATATATATATAATATTATATATATATATATTAGTAAAAACTGTTATTCCCTTTTACCCATATTCCTGCCTGAAAGCCCGTGATTCTTTTTTTCAAAGCTATAATAATAATTCGGAGGGAAGGGGGGAGTCATATCCACCACTCCAAGGGGGGTCCCTGCCTTCATTAGCAAATACCTGTCTTTCAAACGGGGACATTTGTGTATATCACATTCTTTTAGTCACTTCAAAGTCTAATCTGAGGTGAAAAATGAGTGTAAGCTAGAAAAAAGTACCCAATGCCTTTTTCTATAAGATCATGTTGTAAAGGAGGGGAAAAAGATGTKCTTGTTGCAAGAAGGTGATCATGTATCTCTTTGAAGATGCTCAAAATCACAGAAGAAAGAGATGCTGTARCCCTGTTATTATTATACATGAGAAACACCAGATTCAGGTACAAGTGTGGAAAAGAAGTGGAAAGTTTCCATCTTATTCATTGAGGTTAAGCTGCTTGTGTCCTCATAGAGCCAAAAAGAGGGGTGCAGAACAGTCTTAAAGGGCTGATAAGCTGTTAAGACCCACAAAAAAATCCCAAACCAAAACACAGTTATTTCTCAGGGAGAGGTGAGGGGACGAAGGCTGCAGATTGTTATCTTTCATCTGCTTGGGCTCTGTGAACAACTTGTTTTTGTGATGGCATCAATGTGATGGAAAACCTCTGCACTAGAGAGGTGTCCTCATGCCATCCACATCCTCTTTTACTGCGATCAGCTCAGCATTTGGGCAGCACCCCTGCCAGCTCACAGCAATTCGTGCCAGTTCTTCAAAGTATGCAATGAACCAGCTCCATTAATTAATATCCAGYGTTGCTATAACAAACTCCTGAGATGATCTGGGTAAATGGGACATGAAAATGCTTGCAAACAAAGAGCTGCATTTTGTTAACAATCCAGCAATAGGGAAATGTTAGTTTTCTTGATATAAAGGGCAATACAATGCACCTTTGAGAGGAGGGGAAGGCCAAAATTTAATTTATTCAAAGAGAAGCTGAGATAAATAGGAATAGGAAGCTATATTGTATAGTTTAAATTCAGTTTAGAATAAGGAAAACAGGAAAATAGTATGATTTCAAATTGCCAATCTAGGCAAGACAGCTACAAATGTTTAATAGAAAAAAAGTGGTTTTTTTTGCTTTTTGCTGCTCGAAAGTCTACAGGCAGCAATCTATTTTAAGTTAATCTGTATATTGTTAGCCATCTGGAARAAAGTAAGCATCTGAAACAAGTATTGTGCCAGCATGTAAGTTAGATCCAACCATCATAATCAAATTAGGACTGGAGAGTTGGCCTGCAGAAAGAATTTTTTTTTTCTTTTCCTCAAGCACACATACAACAGAGATATTAATAATGGATTTCCATTCCTTTCCTAAAAGGAAACTTAAGTTGTTGTGTCCTAGTAGTTCCCTACTTTAGAAGTGAAAATAGAAGAAAATTCTTGTACCACTTATTTTGGTTCAAGAGGGATGAAATATGCTTGTTCTGCATGTATAGAGAGAGAAATTCATAATAATGAAGTAATTTTCCCCCCATTTGTTGTGGTTTGGAAAAAATACTGTAAAGATACATTTCTTTCCTAGAATTTTCTTGCCTGTGTGTGAACTAAGCAATACTTCATATTGTAGAGGGACAATAGTGAGGATTAACTCTAAAGACTGTAGCTGTTGCAGTGAAATGGGATTTTTTTTTGTATACTTTCCCTTTCTGTAGAAGCAAGAATGATAAATGGACCCAGGTAAATACAACAGGTTTTCAATATAAGAATGAAGAGCAAATCTAACAGCAAATCAAACTCCTTTTTACTTCTTAGAAGTAAGACTTATCCTTGTAATTTTTTTGTTAGGTCACTTCTCTTTGTGATATTATAGCATTTTGATACTTTAAAATAATTGCAAAGCCCTCTCTTTTTTTATGATCCTAAGTAATAATGCATTATTTCTTGTTGAAAGCAGACTCTCTGTTATTGTCACTTCTCAACTCCTGTATGAAGGAAAACACAAGCAGGGTTTACTCAGACATTTCTAGCAGGATTAATATTGTTTGCAAAACATTTTGCGGGTTATTGCACCTACAGCTGGTGACTGAAAATTTTGACCATGACTGTGCTCGATGCCCTGGCTGACTCTTCATTGATGGAGGTATTCTGTCAGATTTCTTTTGTCATGCACTCTGTCATATCCCACTTTAAGCTGTTCTGGCAGTAGCAGATGTGAAATACACTGTTTGTAATCACTGGAAGATAGCTTTTTGTAATAGAAAGAGGCTATCACTCCTAAGGAAGAGAATCAGATCAGTGATTTGGGAGGAAGTTGGGGAAAAGCATAATTTTTCCTTTTTTTCCACTTCCATCCTCTCAGAAACTGTGCAGAAGGAAATTGCTGTTTTCCAGCCTTATGACAAAAGAGAAGCTTCAGCTCCCACTTACAGTACTTGATGGTATGGTCAGAGACACTTTATTGACTTTTTCTCAAAAATAAAATTATAAAAGTGCTTGTAGTCAAAATGACAGAACATGATCTGGACAGAGATATAATGTTAGAGTGGCTCATAAAAGGAATAAAAGAAAGGCTTGTACACACAAGAAGTTGCTTTTCTCAACTATATCAACCGCTGTGTCTCTTCAAACTCAACCATCTCTAGCATCAGCAAAATTAATCTTCATTTATCCCTGKAATACAGAAGTCATAATCTACTTTACTTGTTTAGTTGAGGTAACTCCAAGTGCAAGATAAAACTATTTTATCAGTTTGTAGAGGAGAGCCAATGTACATCTTGATGTCAGTCACCCTGTGGGGTAAGTCTCCTGGAGAGACTGAAACCTGGATGTCCAGAAGAAATATAGCAACATTGGAAAAAGCATTTTAAAWASATATWRTTTYCCTTTCCTTTCCTTTTGTTTTGTTTTCTGTTCCTTGTGTTGCTTGTTGTTTTGTTTTATTGCAACAAGTAAAAAATTATGTCATCYTGAGTTTGAAGTAGTCAGGGATGGAGAGTCTGTAAAACACCCTCAAAGTGAAGTAAAGTAAATTAAAATAAAGTAAAGTAAAATAAGATTTTCAGTGGTTGATCACCTTCACCTTTAAAGATCTTCCTCACTGGTACCAACTGGAATTTCTCTGTGAACAGCAGTGCAGGGATTAGCCAGGAATACATGACCTCAATAACAATCAAAGTTTTAAAGTGCTGATTCCTCCTCTTCAAGGGTCTTGAYACTGATTTCCAAAGAGGTTGCATCATTTTGTTTGATACCCAGCTACACCAACTTCAAGAAGTATTTCAGCACAGTAGGAGTGGATCAATAGGTGGAAGCAGCTGGAGATGTTCTTTTTGCTTCTGTGAGTCAAAGCTAAAAGCCAGGCTCTCAGAGTATGTTTTGRACTCTCATTTACAGACTATTGCTAAATGGGAAGGAAAAAGGTGATGATGCAGTATTGACATGGCATCAAAACGTCGGCCAGTTGGAAATCTTAGAACCTGAACTGCCACTCAGTTCACTTTTAAATGGAATTTAATGTATAGATTCCTTAATATCTCAAAAATAATATGTTTAAAGAGTTCTCATTGCAACTAACKACTTGTATGAAATAACACAAGAATTCACATTTTTAAAATTTAATTGTAAAATAATTTCCAATTGTTTCTTTGACAAAATCTACTGTGCAATTTTTTTTTGTTTTGTTTTTAATTCCATTATTACATTCTATAGAGAGTAGCTTCTTCATCTTGGAAAAAAGTGACTTTACATTTTGAATAAACTTTTGAAGCCTACGGTAGGTTCTTGCAATGAACCCAGTTTGGATATCATGTATCTTTCTAAGAACCTATAAAAGTCATGTTTCACTGTTTCATAATAGTGCAGAAATGGAAGGATAATACTAGGGATAAAATACACAATGAAAAAAGTTCCTTTAAATAGGTATTTTCTCAACATATTTTAACCAGGTTAATTTAATGTTGTCATGACTCCAGCTCTGACTCACCATATATTTAAGWTCAGATGAAATCTGGGATCACCAAAGCATCACACTGGCAGGATGTGTTAGAGGCTACACAATTTCTCCATGGWAGTAGTGAGTTGAATGGAGTATTGAATGTAAAAGGAAAGGTAATCCCTGCACATTCTGTCACAATAAAATGCCTGTCTGCAAAATATACAATCAATTTGGGTAAAAACCAAAACACTGCTCCAAAAAAATTCTCCTACACATTTTGTGCGTTCCAGAAACATATTTTTCTTGATAAAGGATTGTATTTCTTTCTAATGTGATTGCAGAAGACTGACAAACTGAAATACA